GGGGGGGGTGGCGTGGGCCACAGTTGCTCAGGGAGGGTTGTGGCACCCGGGGCTGGGTGGCTTGCCCTAAGCTTGCTCTGACAAAAGAGTTTTGAGTTGGTTTTTTGGCTGAGCCTGCCGAGGAAGGCAGGCCCCTGCAGGAGTCTTGGAGGGTCGGATGCAGCGCCCGGATGAGGATGAGGCGTGGCGGAAGATGCGTTTGGCTCTGCAGACACTGACTGCATCGGGCAGCAGGGGACTCTGGGAGGCTGGTGCAGCCTGAAGGCATGGCTCTTGACAGCCTTCTAGTAGAATCTCTGGAATTGTGCATGTGAGTGGGGGTGCCATTTGGGGTACCGTTCCTGGAAAGCTTTCCCTGACCTCCCCAGTTACACCACGTGCCCCTCTGTGCCCACACCCCTCTTTGCTCCCCTCTGGGGGCACCACTCCTTCTGTGATGAAACTTGTGGATGTGTCTGACCCAGGCCCTGAACTGTAAACACAAGGGACTCAGAGGAGCCATTTTTGTGATCCTCCAGACCTATTCCAGGCTTTGCCTTTCCAGAATAGAACTAAGTAGGTAAATGAGAAAGAGAATGAGTTGCTCAGAACCTGTGCTTATCGTAACCCAGTTTTGATGCTGGTCTCCTTTGTTTCTCTAGTCATGGTGAGGAGATTTTTAATTAATGAAATTGTCACAACTTCTTGAATGTTAGAAGCCTCCCCATCATGCTGCCTTGTAGCCTAGGCTGTGAGAAGTTTCAAAGAAGACGTACAAAGCGTCTTCTACTCCTGCTGGCTCTAGCTTTCAGCAAAGGTCACCTCCCCTTGTAACCTGTTTTGACCACCCCCACCATGAGGGTTGTTATCTAGAAGAGAGAGCCATGGAGTTATCTGTTGTCCTCTTTGTTTCCCATCAGACATACAGTACTTTAGGCACCCACCACAGAGAGAGGCCAGAAAGTTGGGATGGTGTCTTAACATCCAGTTTTATTGAAATACAACTCTCCCCAAAAGTATAGCTTTCATTAATTCTTCTGATCCAAGTTTTTATAGATTCTTACCTACTCTATTGCTTGACCTGAGAATTCATTCCTGTATTCCTGCCAGGCGACTGACATGCCTTATTTCTAACCTTTCCACCTTTCATGTATTTCTCCTCAGCATCTAGCACTAGTACTATGGTAACCACTGATACAGTTCTTTGTCTGCTTTTTTAATATAGGTTCTATGATGCAAGAGCCTTGTCAGATCCCTGTTCCTAGTGATTAACAAATATCAGTAAACAAACTAGAGGTATAACTACAGTTACCGTGTTTTTCAGATAGAGAAACAGAAACCCACAGCATTTAAATATTTACATAAATGATTCCCACTTAGAGATATGAAGCAAAAATCCAATCAGATAAAAATTTACTCTTACATACTCAAGGGAACTGAAACACCAGCAAACTCTGATTTTGCCCCACTTTTTGCTATGGGTAGAGGTGAGATTCAAGAAACAGCCTTTTGTGCCCTGGTCAAAAGTACCTGGTGTCAGAGTAGAGGTTGGCCATTGCTTTTTTGTTCACTGTCATGCCTTTCTTGAGGGTCTTGGTTCCTAACCCCACTCACTCAGTTCTGTCTGGGTGTAGAGTGGATAAGGAAGGTGAAATTCAATGTTAATGTTACCTGTTGAACCAACTCCATGGGTGACAAATGAGACCACTTCCAGTCCATAGACTTATTCTAAGGTCTCAAACTCAATACACTGTTTTATTTTTGTTTTTAATCTTAATGTAAGCTGATATTCTGAAGCGAATATGTGGCATGGTGTGGTGATTTGTGTCTGTGATCCTAGCACTTGGGAGCTTGAGATAGGATAGCTTTGAATCAAAGTCAGTTTGAGCTACACAGCAAGTTGCAGGCCAGCCTACAACTGGCTACAGGCTACATCTCCTGTTTTAATAGCAAAAGGGAAAAGACTTTTCATACTTGGATTTGTTCTTCTTAAAACCCTAAAGTCTTGGTGACGTTGAACCCACGTCCCCAAGCAGTCATCTTTGGTATCTAAGCAATGTGCTTCCCTTAGGCAGCCTGTGCTCCAGCCACTTGGTTCTTTCCATGCCTCTTTATTCATTTCCATGGCCTACACTTTTAGATACAAGCCCTAAGGTTACTGGGGACCCCAAAAGTCCTTTCAGTTGTTCTAGCCCCTAAATCTGGCCTAGTCACCCAAACTCTCCGACCCTCTTTTACCTCAAGATAAAGCTTAAACAGGTGCTGCCTTTTTAGCAAAGGATGGTAGTAAGGTAGAGGCAGGTCAACTCAGAAAACCTAAAAGCTGTGCAGAGGCGGCCGTGAAAACTAATTTACTGACTTGGGTTGAACTCCCCACCTTTCCTCCTGCTCTGTGTCGCAGAGCTGGTTTCTTCCCCGTTTGAGTCCCATCAACAGGAGACCGTGAAGCAGCCTAGTATGCAGAGTCTCTTCTGGGTGGCAGGAGCAGTGTTGAGTGGCCACAGCCGGCCTTACCACTACTCTACCAGCTGATTGCTGTCTCACACCATTCAGCTGGTAACCTGTGTGTGCACTTAGCACCCAGGAGGCTCGCCAAGGAAGCTGGGGTGGGTGGCAATGAGCTCATCCTTTCCTTTCCCTCTTGTCTCCCTACAGCACCCCCTGGGACAGTCCAGTTTAGTGTAAAGGGCCTCCAGAGACCCGGTTCCTCTACTGCTCAGAGTAAATCTGTTCTCTTGAGGAACTGGCCAAGGTGATCAGTCAGTAACTTTATTGAGAGCATTTCGTTATGTTTAACTCGCTCAAAAAGCTTCAAAATGATCTCTGAAACCAGGGCCTTTGTTTGAGGTACACAGAAGGCCAAGGTGGTTCCTATCCTCAGAGACAACCCTGCTGATTCAGGCCTGCACCACTTTCATGGCCAGTGGGAGGAAATGATATGAAGGGGCAACCCTGCCACATAGTTCTTTGTAAGCCAGAAAAGACTCAGTGCAAAACTGCCAGTGACCTTTGAAGATAAAGACTTGCCCACCCAGTTTTTAAAAAAATTAATTTCCTTAAACTGTCTCAGAGTTATTAGCTTAATGTCTGATAATAGATGGATGATTAAAGTCATAACACCTTCACTTACTGTATCTAGAATTTTTTAGAGTAGGGACCATTTTAATTAAGTCACGTTAGGGTATGTATTATGCGTGATCTTTATTGCTCAATACATGACTGTCGCATACCTCACAATGCCAGACTCACTGATACTTTTTTAGGCCAGCTATGGCACACATACTGTCATACCCAGTAGTCCTCTTGCCTAGCATTCATTTATTCTGCCAACACTAAGTGACCCCACAGTGCCAGGCTCTGGACTAGTTGCAAAATCAGAAGTGAATGAACCCTGGCTCCTGTCTTGAAGGAGCTTGTACTGTATAGCATATATGTATATTAACTGCAGTAGTACCAGAAGAAGGCACAGTGTTGGCTGCCTTTGAATAAAGCTTCAAATCCTGCATCCTTTTAAGTGGCCTTTGGAAGTGTTTTGGCCCCCTTGGTTTGTTTACTGCTTTATGAAATGACAGTAAATCCAGGCTTACTGGGTTAATATTAGGAACCAACAGTTCCTACCTGTCAAACACTTAGCACAGTTGTAGCTATAATTGTAGGTGCTTGCTGCTTGAGATGACCAAAACATGGTAATCCAGGGAAAGTTGAGACAGAGATGGTCTTCAGAGCCTCGTCTTTATGGTCGAATATTTCCAGAAAGTAAGGTGGAGAAAGGAAGGAGTTACAGCAGTGGTTCTCAGCTTTTCTAATGCTACAACCCTCTGGTACAGTTCTTCATGTTGAAGTGATCCCCAACCATAAAAATTATTTTTGTTGCTACTCCATAACTAATTTTGCTAGTTATGAATCATAATGTAAATATCTGATATGTAAGATATCTGATATTCGAACCCTAGAAAGGGATTCTCCCCCACCAAAGGGGTTGCAACCCATGAGTTGAGAACCACTGGTCTGCAAGGGATGTGAACACTACCTGGACTCATTTGGAGAGCAGGGAAAAATCAGCTGATATTACACTTGAAGTTGTTTGGACAGTGAGGAGTCGATGAAGGTAAGGAAGGCCAAGTAGATGTGGTAAACCCTCTGCGATGCCATGTGAGGAAGTAATTCTCTGGGAGAGGCAGCTGGGATTGCTCTCTCTAGTCCCTGTCTCCCTCACTCTATCCTAACTAATGGCCAGATCCTTTGTTCTTTGTTCACCTCCATCCCAGATTTACCCAACTAGGGCTAGAGCCCACCCAGGATCCATTTTTGGATGTTGTAGGAGATTCTGAGTTGGCTGGATCTGGGAGCTGCTAAATTGAGGAAGCCTATCATTGTGGGGGGTTTTGTCTTGTTTTCTAAGGGGCTGGAGGCTTGAGAATATAGCTCAATGATAGAGAACTTGCCTAAGGTTTAAGGCTTTGGGTTTGACTCCTCACATCACTTTAAAAAACTAAAACAGGAGCTGGAGAGTTGGCTCAGGGCTTAAGAACACTTACTGCTCTTCTAGAGGACTTGGGTTCAGTTCCCAGCACCCACATGGTGGCTCACAACTGTTTGTTAACACCAGTTCCAGGGAATCCAGCACCTTTTTTTGTCTTGCATGGGCACTAGATATGAATGTGGTGCACAGACACACATGCAGGCAAAACATTTATACACACACAAAACAAACCCTGCCTTCCTCCATTTCTTCAGTTGTTGACTTGTTAATAATATTCATCTGCTAGTCTTCTGTTGTATATTAGTCTACTGTGTGCTTCCGCTGAATGCTTGGAATACAGTGATTCTTGGAACACTATGTCTGTCCTTGGAAATCCCATGGTATTGTAGAGATAACAGGTTTAAACAATTAAGATATGTGAGATAGGTCCATGCATGGTGATGCATGCCTGTAATTCCAGTATTTGAGGCAGAGGCAGGTGGATATCTGTGAGTTTGAGACCAGCCAGGGCTATATAATAAGATCCTGCTTTTTGGTTTGTTTGTTTGTTTAAGGTAAGAGATCACCTCTAATTTAGAGAAATGTGAAAGAGCATAGGGCAGTCTAAAACGCAGCGCCATTCATTCTGACAATGCACTTGGAGAATGACACCTGGGTTGAGTCTTTAGAAAAAAGAGAAGAGGCAGTGCATTGTGTAATTGGGGAAGGGAGTATTTAATGGTCCTTCAAGGGCAGGTAAAAACTCAGGAAAGGCAAGCTTGTGTACTAGGAAGGGTTTGAGTTTGCGCCTTTATACATCCTCCTCGATCACATTAGATAACCATTAGCTGAGTAGCAGGAGGGACATGCTGCAGTTTCATAAACGGTCCGTTTCCCTTATCCTCTAGCCAAAGCTCTTGGCTCCCTTTTTGACCCCCTCCCCCTTAGAATCAAAGAAGTAGGTATTTCTGTTCTGAAAGGGGGTGTGGGGAAACTAAGGCAGGAAAAGGGGCCAGAGGCACTGTAAACACAGAAGGTCTTTATCAGGAAATGAGGCCATGTTGTATGACATGGGGGTTCAGAGATGCCTTGAAGGTCACTGTTTAGTCCTCTGTCCTGTGCTTCAAGTAATAAATTTGGTTTGGGCAAGTCTCACTTAGTAAGTTTCCCTATCATTTCTTCCAGGGCAGAAGAGGAAAGAAACTAACGGGTATTGAGCACCTACTGTGTGCCAGACCCAGGCCAGGTACTTTACATAATTTATTTCCTTCTGTCCTCACAACTCTGTGAAGTATGGTGTTATTCCCATTTCATAAATCGAGAAACCTGAGACTCAGAGAATTTGAGTAATGCTCCAAAATACGGAAAATGGCCGAACAACGATTTGAACTTAGAACCATGTCTCCAAAGTTCATGCTCTTTTCCCTGTGAGAAACCTGTCTTGGAGTTAAGGGTAGTAAAACAGAGGTTGGCCCAAGGATTCGGTTAAGTGAGCAGCTCGGGCCTTCTCTTGGCTACTTGTTTTGAAGCAGATTGAGTGGATTGGATAGGCTTGTGGGGTCATTAGGATCAACAGCCTCACTGCATTGTCCTTACTCAGCTTGTGACCCAAAGAAGGCTCTCGACCATTTGGCCTTATAAAGTGAAGCCGTTGTCTGCCTCCTGGAAGGGCCACATCTGAGGAAGAATTGCAGTAAAAGTTCCAAACCACTGAGGTGGGGTTTGGTCAGCTTCCAGAGCATTAACTGCAGCTCTGATTTCTAGAATTCTGAGTCTTAGCTCTGGTTGCCTTCTTATCAGAGCCATACCTTCAGCATAACATTTCAGGAAAGGAACTAGTTTTGATGTTTTAAATTCTATTTTTGATGTTAAGTAGCTGAGCCAGTGAGCCAAGAGGGCGTTAAACTTCCATTTATTTAACGCCTGCTATGTGACAGGCAACAAGCCATATGTGGTTTCTGAACATATGCAAATGATCAACAGCCAGTCCCTGCTCCAGAGAGCTCCATTCTACCAGGAATATGGCACTGTGTGACAGGTGCTGTACTAGAATTACTTTAGCTTAGTACACAGAGTTTCCTTGACCTTTGACTAGGTCTTATGGGATGCTAGGACTTTACTAAGGGGTTTCCCAGCATGTAGCACAGTAGTTGACATAAGACATTTTAGCTGCTATTGTCACCTACTTTGCCTTGGTGTCAGGGAAGCTTTTGGAGTTTGGTATCTTGAGAGGAGAGTACTCTCATGGGCTATTTCAGAATAGGGTTTGGAACCTGTTGCAGGGCAGCTGGCTAGATACAGCATGTGTCTTGGGAAATCTGGTGCAAACACACATGAACTCTTGGGACTGGGAGGAACCCTTAGGAGAATGAGACTAGGCTAAATGCTGAAAGTCAGTCCAATTCAGAACAGATCTTGGCACCTGTCTGGCGTGGTGGTCAGGGTTAGTCTCTGACACTTGCCAAACTGTAGACAGAAAGGCCAATGTGAAAAATTGAGTTGTGCCCCAAAAGCTGTCCAGATACACCACAAGCCATATAATTAGTAATAAGGATTATTGACTAGAACATAGTAGGTCCTAGGTTTGATCTCCAGGATTGGAAAAAAAAACTTATTAAATAATATTTAATAAGTTACCACATTAACATAAATTGCAACTTTTATTAAAAATTATTATTTGGGGGCCAGTGAGATGGCCCAGCAGGTAAAGGCATTTACTGCTAAGCCTGAGGACCTGAGTTCAGTCCCTGGGATCTACACGGTGGAAGGAGAGGAAGCCTCATGGAAGTTGTCCTCTTGATGCTCACACACATAATACAGTGTATGTGCCATTTAAAAATAATAGTTATATATATTTAATTTTATACATTGAATAGAAAAGTGTTCCTGTTTTCATTTTTGCAAATTTCTTAATAAAGAAAAGCTGGGAAAGGAGGCTTGCTATGTAAGTGTGAGAATCAGAGTTTGTATCTTCAGCACTCAAATAAAAAGATACTGTGGTCATATATACCTGTAACCCCAACACAGAGCTGGAGGTGGGTATTTGTGAAGACAAGGATTGCTGAAGCTTCCTGGCCCACCAGCCAGCCTAGCCAGAAATGACAAGCTCCAGGTTCAGTGAGAGACCTGAGCTCAAGGAAATAAGAGAGAGTGGTCGTGCTTTCACGCACACACGCACGCACGCACGCGCACACACACAGGCATGCATGCACACACGCACGAATGAAATAAAGCTGGACTCTCAGGTTGGAGATGTAGTTCGGTGGTAGAGGGCTTGCTCAGCCCGCACAAAGCCATGAGTTCAGTGTTGAAGACTTTTTATTCATTTTCTATTGTCTGAACCCAGCATGGTTGTACATACCTTTCATTGAAGAGGCAGGCGGATCTCTGATATCAAGGCCAGCCTGGTCTACATAGTGAGTCCTAGGGCAGCCAAAGCTACATAGTAGACCCTATCTCCAAACAAAAGTAAAAAATAATAATAATAATCTGAGCCTGGTGGTGGTGGTGGTGGTGGTGCATACCTTTAATCCCAGCACTCAGGAGGAGCTCTGAGTTCAAGTCCAGCCTGGTCTACACAGTGAGTTCCAGGACAGCCAGGGCTGTTACACAGAGAAATCTTGTCTCAAAAAAATGAAAAGAAAAAAAAAGAAATGAATAAAATCTGTTGTGCATTTACATTTCAGATAGATCTTTTTTTTTTTTTTTTTTTTTTTTTTTTTTTT